TATGGCCTTTTGTAGCAACGTGGATGGAACTGGAGAGTGTGATGCTATGAACATTGGGGTACAAGTGCCCCTATGCATCAGTACTCCTTTATCTCTTATGTGGATCCTGAGAAACTGAACAGGAACCCATGGGGGGAGGGGGAGGGGGAGGAAAAAAAAAAAAGAGAGGTTGGAGTGGGAGAGAGCCAAAGCATAAGAGACTGTTGAGAACTGAGAGCAAACTGAGGGTTGATGGGGGGTGGGAGGGAGGAGAGGGTGGGTGATGGGTATTGAGGAGGACACCTGTTGGGATGAGCACTGGGTGTTGTATGGAAACCAATTTGACAATAAATTTCATATAAAAAAAATTGTGGAATTGTGGTTCTTGGGACACCTGGTGAATCAGTTGGTTGATCTTCTGGCTGTTGATTTTGGCTCAGGTCATGGTCCCAGGGTTGTGGGAGCAAGCCCCACATGAGGCTCTGTGCTGAGTGTGGAGTCTGCTTAGGATTCTCCCTTTCTCTCTCTCTCTCTCTCTCTCTCTCTCTCTCTCTCTCTCCCCCTCTCTCTCTCCCTCTGTCCCTCTCTCCCTCTGCCTCTCTCCCCTGTTGGTGCTCTCTCTCTCTCTCTCTTTCTTTAAAATAAAAAAAAAATGTGGTTCTCTGTGAATCTTTTAGGGTTTACTCCATTAGACAAAAATCATACCCACAAATATCTTCCAGATTGCTCTCTGTCTGATTTTGCTTGAGAGTTAATGATTCTCTGGGGAAATATCCTTGAGATTCCTAGAAGATTCTTTGCCTAATTGAAAAGATTAATTACACATACCCTTAAGTATTTCTTACTCTTAGCAAAAGATTTTATAGTCTCATCCTAGAGATAATATTACACCCTAAGGACATTTTTTTTTCCTTTGAGAGTCTTTTGTAATTTGGAGAGGCTGGAAGGAAATTTCTTTTTTATTTGAATTCAGCCAGCCATGATTCCTTCGTATTTACTCTAAGTTATGCTTGAACACTGAATAATTTCATTTTAGCTTACATCTCTCTGTACCTTATGTGGCATAAAAATATGTGGCATAAAAATAATGTTGATATTTTCAGTGTTCTGCTTAAAAAATATCCTTGGCCAAACACATCAGTTATTTAGGTATATTTTCTACTTTCTAAGTTATGGTATCTCTGAACTCTCTACAGCTGCATAGCACTTATACCTTTTTCTCCAGCCCCCAATAATAATTCTCTCACTGTCTTTCAGGCCTCCATTAACAGTTCCTTCAAGGCACTTGCAGCCTCTATGTGCCGCCTGTTCCAAAACTAATGCTACATGTTTTAGGTTTTTGCTACATCAAGAAAGACCCCACTTCCTGTTACCAATTTCTGCATCATTTATCTATTGCTGCATAACTAACCATCCCCAAGTTTATTAGCTTAAAACAGCAAATTATTACTTCTTGTGGTTCTATGACTTGGCTTCAATCAGTTGAGTAGTTCTCTCTTGAGTCTCTTATACATTATAGAGAGATGTCAGTTGAGCCTACAAATACCTAAAGTCTCAACTAGACTGGATGTTTAAGATGGCTTACTAACATGACTGGTAGTTGCTGCTGACTCAGCTGGGATCTCAACTGGGGCTGTGCACCAGAATATTTAGACATGGCTTCTCCATTTGCTTGGGATACTCGTAGCTCAGTGTTTCAGCTTGAAGAAGGAGCATACCTAGATAAAGCATTTCAAGAGACCCAGGTGGAAACTGCAAAGATTTTTGTGGCCTAACCTCAGAAACCTCACAATATCACTTACCTTGAATTCTGTTGATTAAGGAATCCCTATGTTTAGCCCCAATTCAAGAGAAATAGAATTAAACTCCAACTATAATGTGGGAATTGCAAGTTCACACTGCAGAAAAGCATGGGAGATGGAATATAGTATTGTGGCTATCTTTAGAGAATAAACCTATCACACCAAGTTATAAATGGGTCATCTCTGTGTTCATTAAGATCACCAATAATCATCACAAAAATTCTTTGTGCCAGAAGTGAACTCCTTAAAAGACTATAATAAGTAGAGATAATTGATAATATTTTTTGAAGATATGAGACTTAGAGTTGTGGAATTTTAAGGTGGATCAATAATACCTGAGCAAGAAGAAGTTATGGGGAGTATAAAAGAGAGCTATGTTACTTCCAAGCCAGGAAATTACTATAAGAATCAAGTCTATGGGTTTTTCAAAGGAGCAGGACTTTTCTGATTTGGAAGGATCCAAGATTTCTTAGGTCTCAGAATCACTTAGAGAACTGGTAAAGAACACTGAGTCCCATTAAAGTAAGATAGAGCCTGGGACTTCGCATTCTTACCAAATTGCCTAGGTGATTCTGATACTCACTAATGTTTGAGAACCCTGTTTGTAGATGACTAATTTTCCTTGGTGATTCTTAAAGGAAGGTAATCATTTGCTGTTAGCTTTGCCAACTGTCATCTGGAAAATATCCAACAGAGGTATCTTAAATTATTAGACCCTTAGTCATCTCTTTTAACCTTTTTATTAAGAATAATATCTATCCACATTATATATGATCAGTATCTTATCCCATAAGTCTTGGAAATCTATCTCAAAATAAGACAGAAATTACCCTCTGATCTATTGTCTCAGGAAGACATATCTTCTTCAACTTTTTTTGTCTTTCTTGATATCTACCTCCTTACTTTGTCTTATTGATTCCTATAACACATGGAAGACTTTTAAGATTTCATATGTATTTAAATCACCATTGTAGATATTTTCGCTGTAAAAAAATAAAATGCATTCCAAAATAAATATGGTTACCTGTTTCCTTTCCCAAGCTCTCAGTCTCATGTCAATAGTTCCCTTTAGGGAAGAAGCGTAGGATGATTTTTTCCCGAATCTGCTTGGTCTTCACCCCATAGATGATTGGATTGAGTGCAGGAGGGATGGCCACATAGAGGTTGGCAGTCAGTATGTGGAAGGAGTGAGGAATATTGTGACCAAAACGGTGGGTGAGGACAGAGAACATTGCTGGTGTGTAGAATATAAGAATGACACAAACATGGGAACCACACGTGTTGAGGGCTTTCTGGCGGGCATCTCGGGATGGAAGATTAAAGATGGCACGAAGGATGAGAGTGTAGGAGATGCCAGTGAGGATCAGGTCTGATGTAACAGTCATTACAGGCACAGCAAAGCCATACCAGATGTTGATGGAGATGTCCGCACAGGCAAGCTGGGCTATGCCTATGTGCTCACAGTACGTGTGGGGGATGATGAGTGTTCGGCAAAAAGGTAGTCGTTTTAATAGGAACACACATGGGAAGATGATGCAAAAGCTCCTGCTAACAATAGCCATTACAATTTTAGTAATAATCTGACGGGTAAGAATAGTGGTATATCTTAGGGGGAAGCAAACAGCAACATAGCGATCAAATGCCATGGCTAACAGGATGGCAGAATCCATGGCAAAGCTATAGTGGAGAAAGAACATTTGAGTAAGGCATCCAGAAAAGGTGATTTCCTGAGGACCTAGCCAGAAGATGATGAATGTTTGGGGTACACATGTATTAGATAGGATGAGATCTGTAGCAGCCAGCATGGAGAGGAAAAAGAACATGGGCTGATGAAGGCTGCGTTCCATGGAAATAAGGTAGAGAAGGACGCTGTTGCCTGCAAGGGCCACAAGGTAGATAATGACAAAAGGAATCCCGATCCAGACATGGAACTCCTCCAGCCCTGGGATTCCCAGTAGGATGAAAGGGCCTGAATTGAAGCTGCTCAAGTTGAATGTGGTCATTATGGTCTTGGACTGGATGTGTCTCATAGACTGAAAATAAATATTTTGTGGCTGATTGTTACGATGATCTACAGACATCCACCTCTGAGTCTTCTTCAATATTATCCCCTCACTTTCGGCTCTGAAAAGGGATAAGCTATCCTTTGCCTCTTCTCTTGACTAAAAATACTTGCCAAACTTTCAGTTACAATTTTAAGTCATAATATAAGTGGGATCAAAATAATTTTTTCACAGAGACACAAGTCACATAACTCCAGTCATACAATTTTAGTCCTGCCTCCTTACAGGAACCCAGGAAGGTTTCTAGGAAAATATGTACACAAAACACTATTAGGCAGAGAAACAAGGACTAGTTAGAAATTTGCAACAAAGTTCAATGTGAAGTTCCCACCCTAGTGAACTGGAATAATAACTGTAGGGTCCCCAGGGGCTAAACAAAGGCAAGCCCAATGTCCAACACCAAAATAGACCATTCAGTCTCTTTTCTTTTTTGCTCTTTCTCTGCAGTGGAGCATCTGCCCTCGTTCTCATCAATATTGTAGCAAAGTTCACCAACATAAAGAGGAGACAAAGAATATTCTTCCCTAGAATCTAAGGCTTAAGTGGTTTACTCTGCCTTCAGATATTACCAGGTTGGGAAAGTTTCCAAGAAAAGGTATTCTCCAATAAGACAGAGGTATTCTCTCTCTGTCACATTGGTCCCAAGGAAAGAATGGAACCCTGCTCTGAACCTTCACAGAAGACATCCCAGCAGAGGGAGCCCAGTCTCCGGGTAGAGTTATGCCACACATTCATGCCCCTGTCTAATCTATACAATGACTCATTCTTGTGAGACTTAATTGAAACCGCTGGGCCTTTCTTCCAAAACTCTTCTGTTTGTGACATGATATACAAATCTTTTCTCCAACTTCAGTATTCACTCATTTTTCTTTCTACCTGGTCTTAAGTAGTTAGCATTCTGTAGTGCTCTATATATGTCTACTGCTTTCTAGGTCCACCTGGCTGATAACCCCAAATGCCATGACTTTGTGACTCCTATGTTGAAGATTCTGAATTTTTTAATTTTGAAGACAATCCTCTCTCCTTAGCTTTGGAATTAGTTACCCAATGTCTGCCATGTTAGAAATCCCATGCTCATCCAACTCAGCATGTTCAAATCTGTTTCTCCTATAATGTTTTCCAATTTAGCAAATGATAGTATAACACAGTTTCTCAATCTAGAAGCCTTGAAATTATCTTAATCATATCCTCTCACACACAATCATCTTATTCATCTTCCAAACAAGTATCATGTTACAGGTTTGTTCCCTAAGTATCTCTGTATTACATCCACTTATTGCTACCCTTGTATTGGCTGTTCCATCCCATGTGTCGTCATCTGTCAGCAAGACCTCTGCATTCTAACTCAAATGTACCAGTTTTCCTTGAGCAATTAAAGGTACATGTGATGTAGAGTCTATCCCAACTAGAGAGGGGGAAAAAAGATGGAAAGACTGCAATTCCAGATAGGAAGAAATAGCAAGTCCGGCAGTCAACAGCAGTAAATATCTTCGGTACTCAAATCTAAGTGCAGTTCATTTCTTTAAAAATAGATTCAGTTACAGCAGAGGCTAATGCATAGACAAGACTGAGCTAGGTTTCAGGAGCTAAGATTTCAGTTCCCTATTCACTGCCACAAAATTATGTATAAGCCACCTTGCCTACATCCCACATCCCCTACCATATTGGAAACTGGAAGGACAAACTATTACAGAGAAATAATAATTAAACAGGAGGCAAAAAATTCCATGACAAATGCACTAATTCAAATGAAAAATATATAATTCCATTTAATACATTTATTTAAAGTATTCTTAGAGTCACTAAAGCAAAGCCCTTTAATCAAGTGGAAAAAGTGGCAATGGATATGAATAATCAAGTCACATGAGAAGAAACGCTAATGTTTAATAAATATGTAGAAGATTTTCAGTCTCATAAGTAATTAAGTTCAATATAAAACATGAATGATGAGGTATATTATTTACCATTAATAAAGACTTAAAAAGGTTGATGGTATGAGTGATAACAGCCAATTCTGTGAAGGGTCTGAGGAAATAAGAGCTGTTATAACTCTTTTAAAAGGGTTTACTGTGTAACATTCTTAGATACTAATTTGCCAATATGAATCAAAACATAAAGTGCACATATTCATTGTCCCAAAAGTTCAAAATAGATGAATGCTTCCACAGATACAGTTATATAAATAAATAAGTGGCCTAACGATATTCACAGCAGCAGCATGTATAATACAAAATTTGAGTGAAATTAAAATATCAAAAAATAAAAATTGAAAAGTTGGCACCATTTTAATTTTTAACGTGGGAATGATTTTAACATTTACTGTATATAACTTCTAAAAAGAATGAGGTAGAGCCCTGTGTATAGGAATCAAAAGACACCAAAATACTGCTGGCTTCCTTAGCACACATACTGAAGTTGGAAAGATACAGAGAAGATCAGCTGGTAATATAATTAATGGGTAACAAAACTTCAGAATATTTTTTTAAAAAGTAAAAAATACATAGCGGCACCTGGGTGGCTGAGTTGGTTAAGCATCTGACTCTTGATTTCGGCTCAGGTCATGAACCCAGGATCATGGGTTCAAGCTCCACATAGGGCCATAAAGCTCTTTCCCATGTCAAAAGTGAGATACCTTTAGTCCACGGAATGTGTCACCCCCCCAATTGAAACTTCAGCTTTGGGGAATACTCTTGTCTGATTTCTTTTCCACCTACATTTGTTCTTGGAAGTTTTGTTAGCTTGGTCCATTTCTCTCTTTCTCCAGCTAACTTTCCCTGAACAATATCCAAATTAGGTAATGTTCCCAGGTACACTCCTGGCACTCCACAGTAGCCATTCAGAGCATTTCCCACACTCTTCTTCTTATTTTACTTAGCTTTCTCACTTGACAAATGGTAAACTTGAAGAGGATAGATATCATGTCTGCTTATTTCACTGTTCTATCCCTAGAACAGTGTCTGCCACAGAATCTTCAACAAGTTCTTGTTGAATAAATGAGTGGCAGAGGCCCATTGGACTTGATACTAATGAACTGGATCATCCAAATAGTGTTGTGAACACCCTATCATTCTCCCACCTCTCTCTCAAGTTTATATCCTCAAAGCCTACCGTAATAATATAATGTAGGTCCCTCCACTTAAACTCTGGAAAACTAAACATCTGGAAAAGCATGAAAACTTGCTTTCCATATTAAATACTTCCATATTTAAATACTTTGGTGAGAGGAAGACTCCCACCAAACAAGCCTAGGGGATTCACAGTCACCGCTCACTACTGAAAGATGGTCTGGAAGGAAGGACGCAGCTAAATGTGGGAAATTAGTAGCACTTTCCTCACCTAGAGGAAAGTTCTAGATACATAAAAAGTTCTAGATACATAAAAAGAGGTCTGTGGCTTTACATTTCCATTCTTCAAACCTCCCTGGTGTTACTAACTGTACATTCTCTTTAATCTATTAGTACTCTTTGATCACAGTCTCTTTGATTACAGTTTCCTGAATAGGATTTTGCATTTAGCAAGCATTCTATTCCCACCTTAGTTTCTGGTCTCTGACTGACTGCTGAGCATTTTTCTCCTCTCTCCTAAGGCTAGGAATATAGGCTATATCTCTATGTTCTCCGTCTCCTCCAGCACTAAACTAAACACAGGACAGGTCCTTCAGCAATACCTTGATCATGGAGTATTATAATCCATACCTTGCCTTTATTTCTTTTTTTTATGCTAAGTGTGTCTATGTGAATATCTTTCTTCTGCCCCATTTTAGGGAGAGGACTATCCATGGTTGGTCCATGGGTCACAAAAGGATTCTTTTGAGACCCATTCCAGAAAGCAGCTGTTCAACTCTATTTTGTATTTGTGTCTCTCTGTGGTGTGTAGGGTGGGTGGATTTTGCCCCTATCATCCTAAAAGAACAGGACATTCAGTGCATTCATAAATGCACTCACAAATACAAAGTCATGCTTACACATATAACCTAATAATCTCTGAGGTGGCATATGGAATTTCAATCTCCATATGTCTGGCCCCAGCCTGAAATGGTCAGTTCTAAATGTATCATGACCACTCATTCTCTTTTATTTATTTATTTTTACATCTGTAGCACTATATTTTTTTAATTCTTTTTTTTTTTTAATGTTTATTTTTTGAGGCAGAGATAGAGCATGAACGGAGGAGGGGCAGAGGGAGAGGGAGACACAGAATCTGGAGCAGACTCCAGGCTCTGAGCTGTCAGCACAGAGCCTGACGCGGGGCTCAAACTCACGGACCGTGAAATCATGACCAGAGCTGAAGTTGGACGCTCAACCGACTGAGACACCCAGGCGCACCTACATCTGTAGCATTATAAATTTTGACCAGAAAAACCCAGAAACATTTGAGGAAAAGCAGTGAGAGGGGCTCAGAATTAAGCTCCTAATAGACACCTGTCTATCATACCATTCTCTTAGCATGAGTGTCATCTTTATAATCTATATGCAGAATTGTAATCTTGCCTATTCCTCTTCCTCAGAGCCCGGTCTTTCCCCACTCTTCCTCTCCTCTTCACCAGCTCCTATTCTCATTGGCTCTGCTCCCTGCTATTACTCCCTAATAGTTCTGCTTTCCTCACCACCGGCTTATACCTTGTAGATCCTGGTCCCGGAACTACTTTGCAAAGGCAAGGTGATCAGAGAGTGCAGAAACACAGCAGGTAAAAATCAGACCAAAGAACAAAAGAAGCAGTTCCCGGGGCAGTAAGGATAGACATAAGATCACGCTCACGTAGGGAAGAACCAACACAGAGCCCAGAGGAGTGGAGTGCAAAAGTACATCTCTTATGTCTCTGGGGATTTGAGACAAGTTAGAACAGAGGCCCTCTGAACCCAGGGGACCTATAAGCCTCAGGTCTGAAGGCCCCAAGTCAGTCTAGGCCATGAGCAAAGGTTCGACCAAATTAACACTTT